AAGATCTCAAACAACCTAACACAACACTTTAATGAACTAGAAAAAGAACAGGGGCTCCTGGGTGGCTCAGTTGGTTAAGCGACTGCCTTCGGCTCAGGTCATGATCCCAGGGTCCTGGGATCAAGCCCCACGTCGGGCTCCCTGCTCCTCGGGGAGCCTACTTTTTTTCCCTCTCCCTCTGCCTGCCACTACCCCTGCTTGTGATCTCTCTCTCTCTCTCTCTGTCAAATAAATAAATAAAATCTTTAAAAAAAAAAAAAAGAAAGAAAAGAAAAAAAATAAAAAGAACAAACCAAGCACAAGGTTGGCAGAAGAAAGGAAATAATAAAAATTAGAGCAGAAATAAACAGAAACAGAGAACAAAGAAACAATAGAAAAGATTAACCAAACTAAGAGTTGGTTCTTTGGAAAGATAAAACAAAATTGGCAAACATATAGCTACACTAACCAAGGTAAAAAAGAGAAAGAACACAGATCAACAAAACTATAAATGATAAAGGGGAACACTGCAATTGATATCACAGAAATATATGGGTTCATAAGAGACTACTATGAGCAACCAAATACTAATAAACGAGACAACCTAAAAGAAATGGAAAAATTCTTAGAAACTACAACTTACAGGGGAGCCTGGGTGGCTCACTCGTTAAGCGTCTGCCTTCGGTTCAGGTCATGATCCCAAGGTCCTGGGAACAAGCCCTGCATCAGCCTCCCTGCTCTGCCGGAAGCCTGCTTCTCCCTCTCCCACTCCCCCTGCTTGTGTTCCCTCTCTCGCTGTGTCTCTCTGTGTCAAATAAATAAATAAAATCTTAAAAAAAAGAAACTACAACTTACAAAGAATGAATCAGGAAGAAACAGAAATACTGACTGGAGCAATTACTAGTAAGGAGATTGAATCAGTAATCAAATATCTCCCAATAATGAAAAGCCTAAGACTAGGGGCGCCTGGGTGGCTCAGTCGTTAAGCATCTGCTTCGGGTCAGGTCATGATCCCAGGGTCCTGGGATCAAGCCCCGCACTGGGCTCCCTGCTCAGCAGGAAGCCTACTTCTCCCTCTCCCACTCCCCCTGCTTGTGTTCCCTTTCTTGCTCTCTCTCTCTGTCAAATAAATAAATAAATAATCTTTAAAAAAAAAAGAAAGAAAAGCCTAAGACCAGATGGCTTCACAGGTGTATTTTACCAAACATTTAAAGAAGAACTAACTCCAGTACTTTAAAACTCTTCCCAAACAATCAAAGAGAAGAGAATACTCCCAAACTCATTTTAGAAAGCCAGCAAATCCCAATACCAAAACCAGAAAAAGGTAATACTAGAAAAAAAAAAAATTAAAAGCAAATATCCCTAATGAATATAGATGCAAAAGTTCTCAATAAAATAACAAGAAACTGAATTCAGCAGCACATTAAAAGGACTATTCATCATGATCAAGTAGGATTTATCCCAGGATGCGATGATGGTCTGACATGTGCAAATCAATCAATGTGACACATCACATTAATAGAATGAAAGAAAAGATCATATGATCATCTCAATAGTTGCATAAAAGGCATCTGACAAAATTCAACATCCATTTGTGATTAAAAACTCTTACCAAATTAGGCGTAGGAGGAAGATATCTCAACATAACAAAGGCCTTATATCACAAACCCACAGTTAACATCAGACACAACAGTGAAGGTTGAAAGCTTTTCCTCTAAGATTAACAATAACGTAAGGGTGCCCACTCTGACTGTTCCTATTAAACACAGAACTGAAAGTTCTAGCTACAGCAATTAGGCAAGAAAAAAAATTAAACGTATCAGAATTGGAAAGGAAGAAGTAAAATTGTCCCTATTTGCAGATGACATGATTTTATATATAGAAAATCATAAATACTCAACCAAAAAAATGTTAGATTTAATCAATGTATGTAGTAAAGTTACAACATACAAAACCAGTAGCAGTTCAATATAGTAACAATGAATTCTCTGGTGAAAGAAATAAAGAAACTGATCCCTTTTACAATATCATCAAAAATAATAAAATACTTAGGAATAAACTTAATCAAGAAGGTAAAAGATCTCTACTCTGGAAACCACAAAACACTGATGAAAGTAATCAAAGAAAACACAAATAGACAGAAAGGTATCTTGTATTCATGGACTGAAGGAATTAATATTGTTAAAATGTCATTACTACCAAAATCAGCTATAGATCAATACAATCCCTATCAAAATTCCAGTAGCATTTTTTCTAAAATTAAAAAAACACTCCTAAAATTTATATGGAACAACAAATGATCCTGAATAGTCAAAGAAATCCTGAGAAAGAAGAACAAAGCAGGATGCACCATACTTCCAGATTTCAAGTTATACAAAAAACTACAGTAATCAAAACAGTTTGGTACTAGCATAAAAGCAAATAAACAAATAAAACAGAACCAAGAGCCGAGAAATAAATAAAGCATTTTATGGTCAACTAATATTTGACAAGAGAGCCAAGATTACTCAATGGAGAAAAGACAAGTCTCTTCATGAAATGGTGCTGGGATAATTAGACATTCACAGGTAAAAGAATGAAACTGAACCTTACGCCACTCACAAAAATTAACTTGAAATGGATTAAAGAATTAAATGTAAGAGCTGAAACCATAAAACTCTGGAAGAAAACTTAGGAATAAAACTCCTGGATATGGTCCTTGGAAATGACTTTTTTTGGATATGACACCTCAAGCACAGGCAACAAAATAAAAAATAAACAAGGGTGACTACATCAATCTAAAAAACTTCCCTTCAGCAAAAGAAACCATCGATGAAATGACAACCTGTGGAATGGAATATTTTCAAGCCAATATATCTGGTAAGGGATTAATATCTAAAATATATAAAGAACTCATACAACACAAAAGCAAAACACACACACACACCCCAACTTAAAAACAGGCAAAGAACCTGAATACACATTTTTCCAAAGTAGATATATGAAAGGCCACAGATACATGAAAAGATGGTGAACATCACCAATCATTAGGGAAATGCAAAGTAAAACAATAATGAACTATCACCTCCCACCTACTAGAATGGTCACCATCAAAAAAAGACAAGAGATAACAAATCTTGTCATAGATGTGGAGAAAAGGGTACACCTGTGCACTCTTTGTGGGACTATAAACTGGTACAGACACTATGGAAAACAGTATGGAAGTTGATGGAACAATTAAAAAGAGGACTACCATCTGATCCAGCAATTCCACTTCCAGAAATATATCCAAAGGAAATGAAAACACTTGAAAAGATTATCTACATATCCATTTTCATAGTAACATTATTTACAATAACCAAGACATGGAAACAAATTAAGTGTCCACTGATATATGGACAAAGAAGTAGTCAGAAAGACAGAGATATAAATAAATATAATGGAATATTATTCAGCCATTAAAAGTGAGGAAATCCTACCATTTGCAACAACATGACTGGAACCTGAAGGCATTATGCTAAGTGAAATAACTCAGACAAAGATAAATACCACATAATCTCACTTACATGTAGAATCTAAGAAACAAACAAATAACCCAAACTCCTAGAAAAAGAGACCAGACATATAGTTAGCAGAGGCAGAAAAAAGAGAAAGGGGGACTTGAAGGAAGGTGGTCAAAACGTACAGACTTCCAGTTTCTCAATAAAACTGGAAAAGAAATTTTAAAAAAAGAATAAAATTAAAAAAGAAAATACCTCTCAAGAATCATAATCCCTGGGGAAGTTTTACCGAATTCTTCCATATTAAACTGTCAAGTATTTCTTTTTTTTTTTTTTTTAAAGATTTTATTTATTTGAGAGAGAGAATGAGAGACAGCACAAAAGGGAAGAGGGTCAGAAGGAGAAGCAGACCCCCTGCTGAGCAGGGAGCCCGATGCGGGACTCGATCCCGGGACTCCAGGATCATGACCTGAGCCGAAGGCAGTCGCCCAACCAACTGAGCCACCCAGGCGCCCCTGTCAAGTATTTCTTTTAACATGTATTTAAATACTTCTACAACAGAATTTAGCAAAAGGCATTACCATTGCAGGTTTATTTATTGGTTTCCAATACTAGTATGTGAGCATGTATAATTATTTGCTCAGTAGAAGAATTTCAGAAGTATTTAATGTCAAGTGAAGTTATCCATACTTTTTTGCCCTCTTCTGTAACATTGACGAGACAGATGCTGGATTCCTAGTTACTAGTTCAAATAGTTCCCAAAGTGATGACATCAGTCTCAACACTAGCCAGAACACTATAAAGAAACATTCCTCAACAACCATTTTTCGCAAAATACAAATTTGAATGGCAGCTACACACATCTTTTTAATTTATACCCTGGGTCTTCAGTCCAATTAATCCAAAATCAACTTCCACAAAAACAGACTCAAAGGAGTCCACTCACCATTTCCTCAATTTACTTTTACCTTTTAATTCTCTCACTCTCTTCAATCTATTTTCTCCCTTGTAGCTTTCTTTTCATCTCTGGACTTGCTTCACTTTTTCTTTCTTACTACTGAATTTCTTTTCCTTAAATTCTTCTATCTTTAAATGGAAACCTTACCAACTTTCTCCCTTTCTCTACTTTTGCATCACTTTGCAACACAGAACAAAACTTGTTAGCCCACTCTTTTATGATAGGCCATGACATAAGAGAGATAATATAGACATCTAAGTTTAATTATTGGGCTCACAAATATAATTAAATTTGTAGGAACTCCAAATAAGTATTCATTCTCCTTATATCTGCTAACAAAATCACTACTATTACTTTTGCCAAACTCAGCCTTACCTATCGAAAAATAAAGATCAGAACTTTATCATTAAGCATGTAACCATGAAGAAAACCACAAAATAATTAAATATTGACCTATTTGTAGAAATTAAGCTCCACTACATTAGTGACTACAAAAACAATACAGTATCCAAAAACGTCAGTTTCAGTGGCAAAAATACAGTAAGATTTATAAGTAAAACATAAATGGATATAAAATAGATTACCTTCCTTCGTTGACAAGTTCAATAAAAGCAAGGCCTGCATTCTTCTGGATAGAATTCTGCCACTCCTAAAAAAAAAAAAAAAAAAGAAAAGAAAATAGCTGAACACATAACAGATTATTTTTTTAAAACAATTATGAAAAACATCACCCATATCAATCTCATACCTTACCTCTTAAAGGAAAAGTTTGGTTAAATGTGCTGCCTACTCAAGGCCAACCCTGTGTACACATGAATAGTTGATATTCAGAATTAAACTAGGGGCGCCTGGGTGGCTCAGTTCATTAAGCATCTGCCTTCGGCTCAGGTAATGATCCCAGAGTCCTGGGATCGAGCCCCACATCGGGCCCCCCGCTCAGCGGGAAGCCTGCTTCTCTCTCTCCCTCTGCCTGCTGCTCCCCCTGCTTGTGCTCTCTTTCTATCTCTCTGTCAAATAAATAAATAAAATCCTTTAAAAAAAAATTAAACAAGTTAGTAACAATTTGATTCTATATAAGCCAAAAAGCCCTATCTATATTTATTTTGCTGTCCTATACCATTATATACTACTAATTCAACGAAAATATTGGGAGTTGGGAAGGAAGGCAGCACAGACCAAGGAGAGAGGTTTCTGTTTTTGTTTAAGAAAAGAGATGCATGACTTCCTCAAATAAGGGGAAGACAGAATTAAATAGTTTGGTACACAGTAAATAGCTCACATCTACCACAAAAATTGATGATTAATTGAGAAAGAGAAAAGAAAGATCAGTTAATTTGGCTAGACTACTTCTGAGCTGGAAAACTATAGTTCACTAGCCTATGAATTAGCAGAAGATGGTATAAGTCTATTATATTCTTTATGAATAATTATCCACTAAAAAGCTTAAGAAGGAAATAAACCAGAAGAGTATGTACAAAAGAGTTTTTTGAATCATCTCAAAACACATAGAAATATATAAATATTCAACTCAAAACATATATAAATATATAAAATAAACATTACTCCGTAAGGCTGGGCCTACATGACTTGAAAAGTAGGTAGAGTTGAGAAATGTCCATGCATGCGCCCATATGTGCATGTATGTGTGAAATATTGCTAGAGTTGACAAATGCCAAGGTATGAATGTGTGTGGGTATGTGTATGCACATGTATATCTATTTTTAAATATAGATATTTAAATTAAATTTTAAATAAGTGAAAATATATAATCTTTATGGTCCTTAAAACTAAGGAGCCCCTTACATTCTACCTACATAATATCCCTCAACTGATCTTTTTTGCTCTTTTATAAACTCAAAACAAAAGACAATGTTGGGGTACTTACCTTTACTATCAAAAATATTCATATATTCTAAATGTAATACCTTTAAGAGTCTGAAAGTACATGTACTTTCACCCCTGACGACTGCTCTGTTACTCCAAATTCCTATTTTTTTTTCAGCCTCATCCTTTCTCTTCTAATTTCTCCTTTTCATTCCTAAATTAGTATTGCTTTCTTTCATGTTTAAAGAACCCAAGGTGGTTCTCAGGACTAAAATGGCTGCATACCACAATTTTATTATAAGTTTTTTTGTTTTTTTTTTAATTTTACTCAGTTAACATACAGTACAATATTGGTTTCTGGAGTAGTATAAGGTTCTATTTCATGAATAGTGTCAATAAGAATATTAACAACATATACAGAATGAAAAATAGATATAAAGTCACTCAGAAATTTGATAGTAGTAATTGGCTAGATCTAAAAGAGAAGATAAAGCAATGTGTTGTTAAGGAAAGAGCAATGAACAAGAAGTCATGAGATCTATATTCTCTCACTGATTCTGACATTAACAGGTTATGTCCATGGACAAATCATTTGACATCTCTAGGTCTTAGATACTCTCTTTCAAAATTTCTTTAAGCTATATTATTTTATGATTCAGTAATTTACAAACATTAAAGCAGAACCCTCGGGTAAGGTTTTTGATCCTGGTACAGAGGATCCCACACCTTACTTTCCAGGCACAGCAAAGACAGGTATCAAGTCTCAAAAAGCTTTCCTAAACCTAGTAATGTGCAGGAATAGTAGATGGAGACAAATACAATGGCCAAATGGACCTTTAAGACAGCCTTGAAATATCTCATGCCATAGGAAGAATCAGAAAATTATTCCAGAAAAATGTACAGTAACAGGGGCTTTGAGGGGATGAGGAGAACACAGCTGTGACCTTTGCTGATAGACAGCAGGGAATCAAAAGGGATGGTGACACCTCAAAGGACACCATAGTCAAGAACAGAAGCATATGCTCACTTCTCAGCTCTTATACCTAACATAGCACTCTCGGCAGGCCACTTAGAAATTTGATACAGCACCAGATTATGAGGAGGCAAGACCTTAAACTGACTGAGTTTTCATTTAGATCACTTAACCTGAAGGAAAATTTGAAAATGAAAATTAACCTTAGTTAAAAGAAACTAAAGGAAGTTACTTTTCTTGCTAGAAAATATCAGAAAGAAAAGCAAGAGAATATAGTATATATAATTCTTCAGATCAGACATTTTATTTTAACAAGTATGTACTAATAGTATTTTTTTCTCAAATCCATTTTGTCTAAAACTGCAACAGGTGGGCATTTTTATTATATAGGTCATAGAAAACTAAAAACTCCACATGGATTGAAATAGGTAACAGTAGAGAGACTTAAATTTTAAGTAGACAGGAAACATCAATTTATTTTCATTAATGTATATAAAGTAATTTTAATTATAATGTAAAATCAGGAAGTATGCCATTTAAATTTCACAAACACTTTAAACAGCATGATTTAGGTCAGATAGAACACCAGTTCAAATTACTACAACTACAGAAAATTCACCATCTAAAAATTTTTGTGACCTGAACTCAAATTGGTATGTCACACAAAATATTTTTTTCTTTTAAATTAAAAACAAATTAGACGTGAAGGTCCATATAGAAGTAGAAGAGTCCAATTTTTACAGAAGCTCAGAGAGACAGATTTATTATCGCTACTACTAGACTTCTTGCTTTCCCAAGCATCATCTATAAACCTGTATTTGTTAACTTATTATAATTGCTATCTTACCACCTAGAGTAAAACTTTTTCGCTAGTTAAAAAATAATTAGACCATATGAGAAAAGAAATGAAAATACAAATCTTATTCATACTTTTGGGTATTGTTATAAAAATCTCACAATTCTCAAAGATATCATTGAGTTTTGTCTATAATCTATTCCTAAGTATAAGTTATTAACATTTAATATCACACACCAGCTACATAAATACATGCTGGTAAGAATTAGTAACTCCATGGTATTATAACAACATTCCATGGTGACAGCTGATAGCTACACTTGTGGTGAACACAGCATAATGTACAGAGTTGTCAAATCACTATGCTGTACACCTGAAACTAATATAACACTGTGTGTCAGCTATACTGCAATTATTTAATAACCCAGATGAAAATAGTAAGTCCATAAGAGAAAATTAAAATTTTAATAAACCCAGCTGTTAGTCAACCCAACAAGTTTTCTCAATACTAAAACTTTATCTACAATCCTTTAAGAAGTTGCCAAAACTGAAAAGGAGATTCATTAATCATGCTATCCTAAAGCATTTTTCTCCACTTCTGAGGCAATTATCAAAGAAGGTGTTAGTCTAAACAATTTCATAAACCACAGCTCAATGTAACCTTTAGTGAGTTTTAATAGTTGAAAGAAAAGCTTAACGGTTATCATCTTACATGATCATTTCAGTATTTCATCACAGTATTTACAATTGTATAGTGATGGAAAATGCTAGTACATTTAAAGGTCTTGGTTATTCTTTTCCCAAAGGTATTGGTGAAAAACACGTTAAAAGCCTCAAATCCAACCACTAATGCAACTAAGTAATTTCAAAACACATTTCAGCACTTTGGAGAGGAAGGACTCAAAGCACAAGTGAGTCAATAATTTCATACCTGTTCTAAGCTGTATTTAATTGACTATCACTTCCTAAGGCTATAATTGTTGATAAGTCAATTTTTACTAAAATATACTTACTAATGCTCTTAAGTCATGCAACATCAACAACAAAGATAATACATATTAGTGAAATTTATTAAATAAATACAGTATTCCACCAAATTTCAAATATATGCTTTTGGTGATAAAAGTCTTCTCTTAGGGTGGGGGAAAGAAAAAAGAAGAGTTCATTAACCAAATTAAGTCTATTCCTCCCTATCATCAACAAATAAATATAGAGAAAAGGGGCACCAATTAATGTGCTATGTATTAATTTATATTATTTTAATACAATTCTATCTTCCTTAAAGTAAACTTGACAGTTTTATATAAATTCAATAATCTACAATATATTATTGTGTCTTGAATTACTACATAAACTTACCTAGATTTTAAAAGTAATTCCAAAATATTATCATGTTCTAAAGTAAATAAAGTAAGGCCACAAATTGTCAAGACAGACTACATATACTCCAGGCTGCCACCTTTTTTTTTTTTTTTTTTTTAAGGTGAGGGGGAAAATCATCAATGTTGACATTAAATGTACTATCAATTTTTTATTCTGGTGGGCTAATTACTAAACTCTCTTACTCTTAAAAAAAAAAAAGACAGAGGTATATACTTCAGGTTAAACAGTAAAAGTTAAGAACAAAAGTAATAAAAAATAAATTAAAAATAGACAACTGCATATGAGAGAGGGTAAAAAATTTCTCTACAACCTGGAGAAAAATCAATTTGAGGAAGCCAATCAATGCTTGTTGCAGAACTCTAGGGGGGCCAAGAGTTGAAGTCACTAAGTATCATGTGAAGATGTTGAGAAACAGGGATAAAAATAGTTTAAATGAATGAAAAGTAGTATATGAAACACAGAATTCCAGATCCTCTCCCCATACTTTATGGTCATCCCCACCATAGTAAAGCATTAAAAGTTTACTTTTCAGAGAAGTCAACTTCTGCACATTGTAAAAAGCCTAACTGTAAAAATCAAATAACTTGAAAGGATACTAAATTATGAGACTCCAAAACAATATTAAAGACGTTTTCTCTGAGGAAAATGAGAATCCATAATATTTAAGGGTCTA